ACTGAAACCCAAATGAAGACTGAGCATGATAGTGGGACAAGAGGAAAGTCAAAGGAAAGAGAGGAAAGAGCTAGGAGGCAAAGGGCATTTATAGAGGACATCAAACATGGTCTAAATGGGAAGCCTGGGGTTCAGGCATTGGCTCTCCCTTTCCTTCTCCACCTTCCTCCCTCCCCCTGCACACCCCTTCTCCCTTCTCTGCCTCTTCTTTCCTCTTCCTGTGTCCAGCGGCATCTACAGGAATCAATACTTCACCATTAAATGGTGAGCCATGCTTAAATGCTTCCCAAATGTTCACAAATCAGTGAAAAGCTGAACTTGCCTAAAAGTGTTCAGAGCATTCCAGTGATTTTCTGAGACAAGCATAAGCCAAACCCCTTTGCCATCCAGTCAACTCTGACGCATCGTGACCCTACGGGGCAGAGCAGAACTGGGAGCAGACTGCTCCCCCTTTCTCCTGCAGAAGGCCAGGTGGATTTGAAGTGCCAACGTTTGGGTTAACAGACAAACATCCATCACTGCTCCCCCAGGGCTACACTGGAAGGGGCCCCAGGGAAGGAAAATGCCCTCTTTAGAGATCTGTTGTGGTAGAGTCTGGACTCAAAACTAGGCTTCTGGACTCAAGGTCGTTGCATCTTTTACTCGCTGTGATTTCCAAGTCGTTCCACGGGAAAGAGAAATGTGGCAAGAGCCAAGGAGATCGTTTATCAGGAGATGGAACCAGGTGACTCTTGCCCCAGAGATCTACATTCTAAAGAGTACAAATGAGAAACCATGTTAATCAGAAACACACAGGACTCTAGACTTCAGACCTGGTGCTGCTTACTGCCCCGACCCAGCCTTATGCAACGCACATCTGTCACGAACACAGTCTTCCAGCCAGAGAGGTGTTTTGTGACTCACACATTTGTGACTCGAATAAAGGATACCTGCATCTTCTTTGCTTTGATTTGCTTTAAAATGTATTATTTCACAACTAGCCCCTGAGCATACACCGCAGATCTCTTGTCAGCCAAAGTACCCAGAGGAAATTGTGGCTCTAAAAATGGAATTACTCAAGGAAGCAGGCAATCTATGGAGAAACCACAGGTCGCAAAAACTGTGCCTTGAGGAGGACATGAAGGCCACCCCTAGGAACAGGACAGACCATGTGACAGTGTAAAATGACCTGTGGAACCTATAAAACCTACACCTGTTACCTTTCAGACCACAAACTCCCTCCTCCTGAAAGGGCAGGGAGGCTCAAGCGGTCTCTGAGACAAGTCCTCAGCAAAGACACCCACAGCCACTAGGGACCTAACAGGGCAGTTGGAATTTGGATGGACTCACTGAGTTGTGCACAGGTTATTCCCGCGACATCCCAGATGCCCTTGCCGCAGACTCCATTTTTCATTCTCACACTCCTGCCTGGTCCGATGCTGTGCATGTAGCCACAAAAAAGAGCCCCTGCACCCCTCCCCGGAAAGAGCTCGGAAAAAGTAAAAAGACTCTGTCCAAACCAGAACCCTCGCCCCAAGAAACACATACCAATTCTTGGGGAAGACAGCCTGACAAACAGCATTGACATGGTAAGCCTGAAGGAACCCTGCTGCCTGGTGCCTGTGACGTCTCCCAGGCAGGTCTCTCTTCTTTAGTAAAGGCTTAATGTAACTTGGGCTTTCTAGTCTTTTGCCGGCGCCCATCTCAGAGAACACTATAAAATGAAGGAAATCTCTCTATGATTCTCTCTTACTGATAGCTCCAGCTCAGCCTCACCTTGCTTGTTGCAGACCTGGCAGACGAAGCAGCCCCATACACTTTAAAGACCTCCTCAATTGGGATAGTGTTCTGTTAAAAATCACAACAAAAACATCGGATCATATGACGACTTTTCTTTTACGAAAGATCATATAAAAATGGAAACAAAGCTAATCCATACGCAAATAGATGCTCCTTTCCTTACCATTAAGAGTCCAGCATAAGAAGATAAAATCATTGCTTCTCGTTCTCTGTGGTTTGGATATACAGGCCTCCCATGAAGTGGCATTTTCCTAAGGATGGAATACGAATAAATAAGAGTGGAAGATTGATTTCTGGTGGGATTTTTTCCTGATAGCTGCTAAGGTTGAGACAGTAACTATAAGTAATCTAATGACTGGGCTGTCCATTTAGTTCCAAAATCAACAGGACTGATCCGCCATGAGTAAATTCCCAATAATGGTGATGGATGTGGCCTGTTCTGTTGATGATGTTGTAGCTCTCAATATTGGCAACTGGACTGCTGATCGTTTTACCAACGAGTGTCCTTTCCCCATCTTGGGGCAATTTGCTTGGGGGAACTTCCAGACCCACTCTAAGTCTATATACTTCTAGGGAAGGAGGCAACTTCAATAAGTTCGAAGGATCAAGGCTATAACACAAGCTACATCAGTGCATTCCCTCGTCCACCCCCACCCCAGCCAAGTGAGAGCAAATAAAGCCATCATCACAGAACTCTGTCCCTTTGAAATCTATTCTGCCTTCACCTAAAGGTTGCCCTGGAATGGGCTGGAGCTGGAAGTGGGGCCCAGGAGGAGGAAAGAGAATTAAGAGGCAGATCCTGAGGCCATCCTTTGAGATTTAAACGGAGGCAGATGCCTCCCCTTCCACATAGAGGACCCAGATTCCATACCCCGTCAATGCAACACACGCTCGCCACCACCCGTCGGTCAGTTCAGGTTTGACTATCGCTATGATGACGTCAGACAGGTTTCCACAGAGCTTACAAATGAAGACAAACTACGAAGAAAGGCCTGGTAATCGGGTTATAAAAATGATCAGTGAAACTCTGTGGATGACCATGGTCTGATCCACCCCTGATCATGGGGGTGTTGCAAAACCAGGGAGTCATGTAGGGGTCGCCGTGAGTTAGAGGCCACCCCAACAGCACCCAACAACAGCTTCGGCAACGCAGACCTACTCCTGGGCCCTTCCGATACTGAGGCAATGAGGTCTTTCTGTTAGCTGGAGGGAGCTCAAGTTGGGTTTTCTGTAGCTAATAACCCAGTCAGATAGTACCAGATGTGCATTCTAAGATCATAGAACAGAACATACAACTGGCCTCTGGAGTGAGCTACTTGCTTGTGACCCACCGAGAGGATTGGTTAGCTGCTAATAACACACTTAGGGTACCCAGCAAGTCTTGTGTGAGATCCTAAGGAAGGGATTGGTCAGTTTTGCCATCCACTTAGGCTTAAAATGAGTCATCCCAGAGGCGTGGAAAGGGGAATCTCCTGAGGGTCAAGAAAGAAGAGTCTAGAGTGGAGTGCACCCTGTGGTCCAGACATCCCTGTGCTGCCCTCTTCCATCTAGGAGACACGGAGTAATGCCCCTGGAGATGGTGAGAAACAGAGGTGGCAGTAGACGCAGCACAAGGTAGAGGAATGGGCTTCTTGGCTCACAGAGTGAAAATCTCGTTGGGCAGGAGAAGGGCTGACTGAGTGAATGCCTTTGGGTAGGAGGAGTGCAGGGCATAGAGGGGTACCTCTCGCTGAAATGGGGAGAGGGGTGGAGCAAAGTTTGTCAGGCCCATGAAGCTAGAGTGGAGCACCTTGATATATTAATCTTTTTCTTTAATTCCCATTAAAAAGACAAACTAGTTCAACTCACACTTCCTCCCACTCCAGCCACGTTAAGTCTTCTGAGCGATCAAGCCATTGCAAGGCAACGTTGATGGCCAAGTCATAGTGAGCCTGGATGCAGGAAAGAAACGGGCAACAGAGCAGTTTTAGATGTGGGCCGAGCGCTCCCCTCACCCAATGACAACCGGCAGCTATGCGTAGCCTACGGTTTTGTTATCTCCAGGATGGGAAGACCACCCACTATGTCTGATAAGCTAATACTCAACCAGAGATACATAGGGCTCTTCGGGCCTTAAATTTATTTACCTCCCACTAGAGCAGGTAGAGGGAGGGAGTCCTTGTGGAACAGTGGATTAAGAGTCGGGCTGCTAACTACAAGGCTGGCAGTTCAAACCTACCAACTGTTCCCAGGGAGAAATATAAGGCCGTCAAGATTATAACCTTGGAAACCTTGGGGGGCAGGTCTACTCTGTCCCGTAGGGTGGCTGTAAGTCAGTATCAATTCCATGGCAATGGGTTTTGTTATTATTTAAAGCAAATGTGTGATTTCCATTGTCCAGAAAAGGGGGTCGGGGGAGTCAGATTACACAAAGCATTGTAAACTGAGAATCTGGGCTCAACTTGTCTCGTGTTCTTAGGCGAGAGATTGAGGCTCTCTAGGCCTCGGGTCCTTAATTCTTTACTAGAGAAAGGTGGCACAGAAAACAACAGGAATGAGCCAGAGACGGGGGTGCACAGACCACTCTTTACTTTCTCCACAGTTTTTCTGTAAGCCTCAACCCACTCCGGAAAGCAGAGTCTATGAGGAAATGGAACAAAAGTCATCACTGGAGGAAGAGGGTCTTGGAGAGGAGTTTCTGATTCTGAGTAGAATGTCAGATATAGAATGTCAGCTACAACCTTGCAGGGCACAGGGAAGTGTTGTGTGTACTTGCCAGGAGGGGCCGTAGATCCCTAGGGAGAATCCTGGGAGGAGGCCTTCTGGGCACTGGGCCTTGAAGGAGGCAGAGTGTTCGTGAGGGTGGAGAGCACATAACGGGTGGGGAGCAGAGACCTGGCAGCAGATCTGCTCGGCGCGCATTTGCAGGAGAATGCAGGGGACAGACTCGAATGTCCAGCCCCGTCTTGTTGCTGGGTGTCCTCAAGTCGATTCCTGCTCACAGTGATTCTTCAGGACAGGCTAGAACTGGCTGCCTGACTGCGGTCCCTAGGCTATATCATCTTTACAAAGGGAGTTGCCCAGGCCTTTCTTCCTCAGAGCTGCTGAGTGTGTAACCATTGACCACCAGGGCTCCTTCTTCCTGTTGCCATAGCATCACTACAGGGATACAGGCGGTGTGGACCACACTGGGGGACACTGTCAGAAGGACTGACACCAAATGACTGTCTGTAAAATATTTCTGCAGCGTTTCCGCCAGCATTAATTGTTATTTTTCAAAATTATCCTTGTTGTTCAATACCAGGAGCTCTGCTGGTGCTGGGGACACAAGCATTGGGCTGCTAATCACAGGTGGGTGGTTCAAATCCACTCGCCTGTCCTCAGGAGAAAAATGAGGCTGTCTGCTCCCATAAAGAGTTCCCAGTCTCAAGAAGCCTACATAGGGTTGCTAGACGTTAGAGCCGACTCAATGGCAGTAGGTTTGGTTGGGGTAGTTATAATAACATTTTTTTCGTAAGCCCAGCTGACATATATCAACATACACACAAGGCTAAAGCTCGATGCTAGTTTTTATCTTTTTAATCTTCTAATGCCTTGATTAGAGCTAATCTTTTTACCCAATCACAATATGCCTGCGACCCCTTGGTTTGGTTCCAAAGCACTATTGTTTACATGGCTACCAGAGTGTCTGTAGTCACTGACTCTGTCAACTTCCTGGTGTCTTAGCTACAACAGCGTGCTCATGAACCTTCAGGAACTGATGTCAGCACTTTTTTTGAAAATAAAGTTGTAATTAGAGGAAAGAAGGGAAAAAAAGTAAAGCAAGCCTTCTACTCAGTTACTAATCATGCTCTAATTCAATGTAGAAAGGTTTTCTACACTGATTTTGTTAGCATTCATATAGTGTAGGAAATATTAAACTTAGGCAATATATAAGTTTGTTTATCACCTATTATTTTCTGATTAAAATTAAAAATAAACCTGAATAAGGATTCTTTATGGTCAAAGATGGGACAAGGCCCAGGGGTGGGGTGGGGTGGTGGCCCCATAAGTTACTGCACTGGGTGACACTAACCCTAGTGATGCCAGTAACCAAACCCTTGACCATGAGTTAATTCTGACTCATAGTGGCCCTACAGGACAGAGTAGAACCACCCTGTAAGGTTTTCAAGGCTGTAAATCTATTTTTTTATAAATCATTTTGTTGGGGGCTCGTACAACTCTTATCACAATCTATACATCCATCCATTGTGTCAAGCACAGTTGTACATTTGTTTCCATCATCATTTTCAAAACATTCACTTTCTCCTTGAGCCCTTGGTACCAGCTCCTCATTTTTCCCCTCCCTCCTTCACAAACCCTTGATAATTTATAAACTATTATTATTCTGTCATGTCTTATACTGTCCGATGTCTCCCTTCACCCACTTTTCTGTTGTCTGTCCCCCAGGGAGGGGGTTATATGTAGATCCTTGTAATCGGTTCCCCTTTTCTACTCCACCTTCCCTCCACCCTCCGGTATCGTCTCTCTCACCACTGGCCCTGAGGGGTTCTCTGCCCCGGATTCCCTGTGTTTCCAGTTTCCATCTGTACCAGTGTACATCCTCTGGTCTAGCTGGTTTTGTACGGTAGAATTGGGATCATGATAGGGGGGGACGAAGCATTAAAGCACTAGAGGAAAGTTGTGTGCCAGGCTGTAAATCTTTGCTGAAGCAGACTGTCATGTCTTCTTTCCTGCAGACAGCTGATGGGTTTGAATGACCAACCTTTCAGTTAGCCTCTAAGTGCTTCATTGGGCCACCATGGCTGCCTTCCTAGTCTAGTGGCCACTCTTTCCTTGTAAACTCTTATTCAGTACGCATATTCATCAGTTACCTATCAAAATATTCCTTCACTGCCCCTCATCCTACCTCTCAAAAATAAAAATGATTGGTTTTGCTTGTGCATGTATGTGTGTGCTTGTAGAAGAGTTTTAAGGTTCCTACCTAACTCCGGCGTTTTCTGGAAACAACCTAGTCATTTATTCCAAGGGCTGAACAAGAATGAAGAGTGAACCAAGAAGGAAAAGAAAAATGTTTTTAGATGAGCCATGGTATGGGGGTGACTCGAAGGTTTGGGGTGCAGACCAGCAGTGTTGGTGATTCCCCTCTAAGGCTTATTAGAAATGCACACCCTAGGTCCCAAGGCAGACCCCCTGACCTAGAGCTACACTACAGTCAACCAAACCCCCTGCCCCAGAGCAGACCATCTGATCACTGTCCCAGGGAGAAGCTGGTGGGTTCCAATGGTTGACCTTGCAGCTGAAGCCCCTGGAACATTGTAACAAGTCCCCATGGCCAGTCCACAGCACCGTTCTCCTTGTTCTCTGTGCTGGATGCAATTTTGAAGGCCTGTGTTTAACTACGTATCCTACCCAAGGAGAGTTTTAAAAGACAGCCTGCCTTCCTAAACCTTCACTTCCTGAACATGAGAGAAAGAGGGCAGAGCCCTTCTTGCACATCATTGCAAGGACAGTTCATTTGAAACTCAAAAGGCACTGCCCTTGAGTCGATGCCAACTCAGAGCAACCCTCTAGGATAGGGTAGACCAGCCCCTGTGAGTTTCTGACCCCGTCTTTCAGCTGGTGGTTTCGAACTGTTGATCTTGCAGTTAGCAGCCCAATGGGTACAACACCACCAAGAGACGGTGTGAAGAAAGCTAAGGGTTTCATAATTTCTTTTGAGTTAGATCTTTCTTCCAGAATTTATTTAAAGGGAACATTGTATGGGTCTGAGTATCAACATGAATGGTAACACCAGCGGTTTCAGAATGGTGTTCTCTGCTCTGGCATCTCCCCTCTCAGGCAAGCAGGAAACAGAAGATTCTGCTTGAGGACCACATCTCTGTGGCTGCTCACTAAAACGTCACCAGTTTGGACTCCATGGGAGAACGATGGCGACTCTTCTTCTCTACGGGCTTACAGCCATGGAACGGCTAGGAGCCCTCACCTCTGTCCTGCAGGGTCACTATGGGCTGTGGGTCTTGCTGGCACACTGGTTAATGAGCTGAAAGGTTGGTGGTTCAACCCCACCAGCCCAGGAAAATATGACCGTCTGTACCATAAAGATTTCAAGCCAGAGAAGCTCTGAGGAACAGACCTACTCGGCCCTTCCTGGGTCTCTGTGAGTCGGAACCAAGTGGAGGGTGACGGGTTTGTGCAGCGTTTCATGTTGACTTCATTTTGCTTTTTAATCATTTCTCTCTTCGCATAAACAACGCCTGTGGATTGTATGTGCTGCTGCTCTTTTGCTTTCTGCTCACTAGGAGGGAGTGACCATGTGAACAATCCTCCCAGGAGGAGGAGAGGAGGAGAAGGGACCCTCCGAGGGGATCAAGGTTAATCTTGAAACCAGCTGTGCCTTGTACGATCCCGAATCAGTGGCATTCTGGGCAGGACCAGCTGCAGAGACAACAGACCGACCAGTGGCTACTCAAAGGGCAGAGGGGGGAGGAGGGGCCCAGGGCATTTGGAGGGCGGTCAGACAGTCCTGCGTGATGCTGGAATGGTAGACACGTGGCAGCATGCATTTGTCAGAACACATTCAAAACAAAACAAAAAAACCCTCACTGCTAGGGAGTCTCTTCGGACTCATGGCGGCCCGCTAGCACAGGGTGGACTTGCCCCATGTGGGTTTCCGAGACTGTCACTCTTTCCAGGACTAGAAAGCCCAGTCTTTCTCCCTCAGAGCAGCTGGTGGTTTCAAACTGCTGACTTGGCATTAGCAGCGCAATGCATAGTTACTACACGACCAAGCCTCCTCGCCGGAGCCCGTAGGCCTGTCTGATACAGACAGTGACCCTTGAAGGTAAACTGTGCGCTTGCATGATGGTCGTGCAGCAGCACGGGTTCATCGGTTGTACCCGATGCACCCCAGGGATGCAGGATCTGCGCAGCAAGAAATGTGGGAGAGCGGGGAGAAGGGTCACACAGGCTCCCTGCATAGACTTTCTCACCCAGATCCCCTGAAAACACACATAACGCACGTGTGACCTGCACCGGCAGGCCTGTCTTTACCAGATCGTCTAGAAAGGTGAGGTGCCTTCTTCCTTTGGGGTCAAATTCATTTTCCCGAAGTCTGATGCCAATATAATCTCCCCTTAAAAGCAAGAGAGCAGCATTGAAGCACAGGGAATGGCCGAGAGAGGCTCCGTCCGACCCCTGCCCATCTGCCGACCGCACACAGGAGAAGTCACCGGCGACTCTGGTCTCCGAGTTGGTATCTCATTGCCATTTACGTGCTGATTCTGCAACATTGCCGGTTAAAAAACTGTCCGAGTAACAATTAATTTACATGACATTTATGTAAAAATTAAATTCAGATAGAAAGGCAGGGAGCATGACAAATTCACCCACAGAAAAACATGTCACAAAACCTGAAAGATTGAGGCCCGTCTTTTTAAAATCAAGATTCTCTGGCTGCCCTTGTTAAACTCAGGCAGAATGTCCAAAGTTGATAAGTATGGGTACATAGTATTCCATAAATAGAGATGTGTTCTTTTCCCTAAGGCTTCTCCCACCAGAATGCAAATCCTCTCAGGAAGAACTAGGCAGGAAACTAGCTGAGTAATGCCACTTGGGTGTAGATAACAGATCCTGCGCTTCCAGAGCAAAACCCAAACTCACTACCATTGAGCGGAGGGTGACTGACAGCAACCCTCTAAGACAGGGTAGAACTGCCCTGTGGGTTCTGAGACTACCTCTTGACATGAGTAGAAAGCCTTGTGAGTTTCTAATAGGAGTCTCGGCATGAAGATCCCGAGAAGAGACAGAAAGGGAGGCTGTCTGGGGAACACCGGGCCGAGGGACTGGGTTCAGGGAAGAAGACACTGGGTCTACGAGTTGGTCTCAGCAAACCTCACAAAGTTTCCCAAGGCCAGTTCTGGTTGCTCGGCTGTCTGCCACACGGGGACACCTGGGACTACTTACTGTGCGGGAGATGTCCTTCGCTGGCTTCTAGAAGCTTGTCTTGGAGCCATTGTGCTTTTCTAGATTGTTAAGAATTCTCGAGGCTTTGCTTTGACATGCCAAGATGCTTTCTTTGAAATTCCAAGATGCTAGGTGCATTATGTATATTAAAAAGCAAATATACTTATACTCCTTTTGACATTTCATTCTTTGGGTGAGATGTGTGTCGGAGTTGTCACTCCAGATTGTAGTTTGTCCTCTTTGTTGGAAAAGGCTTCAAAACATTCGTGGAAAACTTCCGTTAACTTTTAATTCCATTTCCCACAAACTTTGGGAAGCCCCTTTGCTTTTGTTCCCAAACACATAAATGCAAATCTATGCACATTCCTATATAGCTGATTCCAACAATTCTTAATCGCTTATTAAAAGATTATTATTTTGGTACACAGAAGAGAGATGTTTGGTGGAGTCTTTAGTGTGAGACTTTTGAATAATTGTCTACTGTTGGTCTACCTGCCCCAAACCAAAACCAAACTCACTGCCATCAAATGATTCTCAACTCAGCAGCCCTTTAGGACAGAGTAGAACTGCCCCTGCCCCTTGGGTTTCTGAGACTTTTAAGACTTCACAAGAGTAGACAGTCTCATCTTTCTCCCTCGGAAAGGCTGGTGACTTCAAACCACTGACCTTCTGGTTAGTACCTAGATGCATAACGTACTACACTACTCGAGTGAAATTGAAGATAATCTTTTCTTTCTTTCTTTCTTTCTTTCTGTGTGTGGTTTGTGGATTTCTTTTTCTTTTCTTTTTTTTGGTTACACAATCTTTTTTTTTTTGTAGTCATTTTATTGGGGGCTCGTACACCACTTATCACAATCCATACATGCATCCTTTGTGTCAAGCACATTTGTACATTTGTTGCTATCGTCATTCTCAAAATGGTTTGTGGTTTTCAGCAACCTTTTTGCTAAGTCAAAGAAAAGTTGATCGCTGGAGGTAAAAAAAATCCCATGGATAAACTTGGTATCTTCTTTGTTAAAAAAATTATTATAGATCGCAAAAAAAGGAGATGAATGATTTAGTCAGCACAACAAATAATAAATAGGACGAAGCTGCCATTCAAATGCAGGGCCCATGGGCACATTTCAACCCTTTTCCACGAGAAGCCTGCCCAGCTGTGGCCCCTTCTGACCGGGGAGACCTGCAACATGCACACAGCTAGCAGAAACAACCTCTGGAGGGCTGCAGGGCGCAGCATTCCGCTTTGCATCACAGATGAGGCCTCTGGGAGGAGAGGAGGTCAGGCCATCTGCGCTTCTCCTATTGTCCAGGTATAGAGGGCTCCCCCCACCTGCCCCCACTGCTCACCACCAAGCCCCCTGTAAATGCACATTCATGTACCTACTCAATGCCAAACAGAATCAAGGAAAACGAGTCTCAATCGTACTTACAGGATTTTTTTCACTTCCTTTTTCAGGAGTCTTCTCTCCATGATTAAAGGCTTATCCAATTAAAGCAGGTGCTTGCAGTTTACACCGCACCTGAAATCAGTCGAGAAGACTGGCCTCTCTAAGCCTAGAATTACAGCAGCAAATCAGAGAGAATGGAGTTAGGGACGGTATCATTGCAAATACCAGTCATGGAGTCCTGGGCTCTGGAAGGGATCCGAGAGAGTGCGCCGGGCTCAGGCTCTTCTGTCCAGTTGGCTCCAAGTCAGAGAGTTGTTGGGAGGTCAGCGTGTCATATCTAGTGATTACCTGGCCTCCTTTATTCATTCACACTTTCCTGGAATATGTTGACTTACATTTGTATAAACCTGCAAGTAAGACAGGCAATAGCTAATAGAATAGTTGATGAGACTCTTTGATTAAAACCATCCAAACACAAACAGCCTGTGATCTAAATTTGTTTGAGTGTCTCTGCACATTCTGCAATAGTGACCATATGAGTCTATCTTGCTACTGCAGCTCACAACAGGTTTCTATAGAACCCACCTATACTTTCCTGTGGCCAGGAGGTCTTTGAAAGACCATTTGGCTGTGGCAAGTAGGAGACTGTGCGTGTCCTGTAGCCCCTATGCCAACATTGAACCAGAAATTGTAGTTCAGGCCATGGAATCAAAGTGGAACCCAAATCCCAAAAAGAAGTGTACAAAGGCATTAATTACTCCTGAATTCGGTACCCAGGAAGAGGTATGCCTGGGAAATAGACTATGGCTGTAATTTTTTAATTTCTCAAAAAGAGATTTGAGAAATATGACCAAATATGACCCTTGCTGATTCAGGGCTGATGAGACGGTGAATGCACATCCCGTTACCCTGTGTATTTGTGAAGTTGTGCATGTGCATTTAGATCATGATTCTAAGGACGATTGGGAAAAAGCCTTTAGCTCTGAATAAGCAGAGAAGAGACAGGACACCATGCATTTAAATGACTGTCATTAGGGTAATTTGATTCCTTAAGAAGCTTCTTCCTGCTGCTACATCTGCTGCAGGCTTCTGGGACGTGGTAGGATCTAGATAAGATGGAAAGGGGAAAGAGAGTAGGAGCACTGCGTAGGAAATGCAGGAACTGCTCAAGACAATCACACTGTCACTGCTCTCCACTGGAGCGTCGATTGCAGGAGATGCTACCAGCCAGAGGTGGGAGCATGCCTGGAAGAAGGACACACTGGATGCAGGGAAGCCAGAAGCAGGTCCGCTCTACCCTTGACTGGTGGGCCTTTGATCCAGCTGCTGACTCTTCCACAACCCAGTTTCCAATGTCATCAGTAAAAAGGCGGTACTTGGCTGCTAACCTCAAATCTGTTGGTTCAAACCCACCCAGAAAGATCTAGCTACGTGAAGATTTAGGCCTATAAAACCCTGTAGGGCAGGTTTCCTCGGTTATATAAGGTGGCTATGGATCAGAATGGACTTTAATGACCCGCAACAAGAATAAGTTAACAATGCCAAGGACATCTTTCACCTTAATATTCTGTAACAATAAAGTCTAACAAGGGAGCTCTGGTGGGGTAGTGGTTACACATTGGGCTGCGATCCACATGGTCAGCAGTTTGAAACCACCAGCAGCTCCAGGGGACTGGCCTTTCTACTCCCATAAAGCTGCAGTCTTGGAATCTCAAGGCGGGGTTGTTATGAGTCAGTATTCACTCGATTCAATGGCAGTGAGTTTGGTTTGGCTTATAAAGAATAACGTGGATTATCCTTCTTATAACTCAATGATTTGGGGAAAGGTTTTAGGTAGACTATATGGTCTACCTTAACTGAATGCCTTAAGAGGGAATGGGCTCAAATACTCAACTCTGTCTCATGATTGGCCTGTGGGTGTCAGAGTAGAACTACGTTCTATCTATGGGGTTTCCAATGACCAAGCCTTCGAAGGTGGCTCTGGGTGGCCTTGAACTGCCAGCATGTGTTAACTCTGTAGCTCCCAGGGACTCCTCATGTAGCAGAGATGCCAAACTAGCAAGAGACTTATCGTTTGCTTCAACACATCCTTGTTATAATTCTGAGAAAGCTGTTTGAATTTGAAACTTACACATCCTAAAATTTGCACCTCTTAGGCTTTTTGTTTTTGTTTTTTTGACGACTTCCTATAGAACCTCCATGTAGCAAAACATGGAAAGGTTTAAATCTTAAAAACATGAGCATTTCCCACCACAGATCCAGTAGGCAGGGGGGTTCAGGAGCCTCTACGAAACACAGGGACATCAAGTTGCTGTGTCATCTTTGACAAGTGGACTTGCCTGCCTGCATCCTGGGGTTGCCTCTTTTCTAAAACAGCATCGAGTGGTGGTTGAAGCTCCTTCCAGCAGTGGAGTTCAGTGACTTAGTAGCTATGCCTAGTTAAGAGAAGGCCATTTGCAGCCCTGGTGGTGTAGTGAGTTGGGCATCAGGCTGGTAACCACAATGTTAGTAGTTCAAAGCCACCAGCTGCTCTGAGAGGCCTTCGACCCTTATAATGTGTACAGCCCCAGAAACCCACAGGGGCAGTTCTAGTCTGGCCTATAGGGTTACCAGTGAGTCCGAAATGACTCAATGGCAGTAAGTTGTTCTTATTTCTGTTGGAATTTCAATTTTGGCAGGCATACCCCACTTTTCTCTAGGTAACCCTTTAAAGGAAACAAGGCCCGTCTGAAAACACACACACAAAGGAGCTGTCCGAAGTATGCCCGCTGTCTCCGGCTCCCTCTGTGTCATAGATCAAGTGCCCAGAAGTCAGAACCCCATCTTCTACAGGACTTCCCAACCCTGAAGACATTTCCATACTCCACTAAGTCCCCCCCTCCGCCCCTGACACCCTACAGGTGTGACGCATGTCTCTCTGGCTATTCTGCTAGATGCTCGGCTCTGAGCACTCCCCCATTGAGATTCTCTCACCAGCTGAAGTGGACACCAGTCATTTTGTTCCTTCCTGGCTTTGGGAGGCTCGATGCTGCAGCACTGGCTACCGCTGCTCACACAGACATCCGGAAGACGATGCTTCTTTCTTGTTGCTAGGAAACCATGACTGAATGAAAAATAATTTGCTTTTAACCCACCCCCAGATCTGGGCGGCGGGGGAGGGGTTGGGGTAGCTCTATACTTGGGACAGGGTTGTGATCCTGACCTGGAGTTCACGGATCTAATTACCTGATCAGGCTTTCGGTTGCCTATCTAAATGATTCATCAGAAAGCCTAGAGGATGTGAGCCGTCCGCCTCCTCCAGGGCTGTTTTAGTGCACATGGCTGCAGATGGAAGGAGTCCACTGACCAAGCAAGGGTTGTGGGGGAAGCCAGGGTACCTCGGACTCCTCACACACTTAGGGTCCCCAGAGCATTGCTGCTACTTGCTGTCAAGTCAGCCCTGGAGGTCTCACGTGTGACAGAGGTCCAGTCCTATGCCAGCTTCATGATGGCTGGTGAGCTGAGCGCACTGTGGAGCACCTTCCAACCCAGGGAGTCCAGAATCCAGCCCCGTACTGAGCAACGAATGCTCTGCTGTGGTCCACAGGGTTTTCATGGGCTCATTCTAGAAGTAGATGACCAGACTCTTTTACCTAGTGTGGACGCTCCACTGAAACCTTGTCCGCCATGGGTGCCCTTGCTGCCATTTGCAATACCGGTGGCATAGTTTCCAGCATCATAGCAATGCCCAAGCCACCACACACACTATGGGTGACTATTAAGACTGCCTTTGAATAGATTACAGTTCATAGTAGCCCTATAGACAGACACTGAAAACTAAAGATCCTGGAGGGCTGGGCCCTTGACACAAGCCATCACCATCACACACCTGCCTCCTTATCATCCACTTCTCAGAGGTTGTAGGTGTCAAGTTTAAAGTGCAAATCACAATGTGTTGCCAGCAGGTGGTTTCCCATGGTTCTGAAGAGATCTTGACTCCTAATCATGCCCATGTCTCTTCCGTGTCACCATCCAGACACAAAGCTCGTTATTCTCATGACCTTGTAGCTGGGTGTCTGCACGGAGTGCCCACTCCCCTCCTCTCAGCAACAGTGGCAAAACACCTTTTACCACAGAGAGGAGATTCTCCATTCTCAGAGCCCAGCCTTGAGGCAGGTGCAGAGAGAACAGCCTGATAGTATGCATCAGGAGGCTGGGGCAGAAGGGGGAGGCATTTGCCAGGCATTGAACATTAGCCAGCTCAGACTTCCCACATTCTGTATGTTCAGTGGAATTTTTCATGAATTTATAGAATTCTCTAAAATTATTAATGGAGCCATGATATCTGCATAGAATATATTAACTTGATGTTGTGGGTAGTCAAATACCATTTGAACTTTCTATTTTCATAAAATTTATATTTGAATCACTGAAAAATAACAGTATGATGGTAAGAAAATAGAATGAAAATTATGTGTTCTTGGGTAAATCAATGCTGCACTATATTTCCCTGTAAAATTAGTTGGTATGGGGGAACCAATAACAATGGTCAATGTACATTTCCACCCCCACCATGGGGATGAACAACAGAAATATGGGAGAAAGGGACAACAGATGGTATAAAATATGAAAATAAAACTAATTTATAAATTATCAAGGGTTCAAGTGGAAGGGAGGGAGGGAGGGGAAAAAAGAGGAGTTGATACCAAGGGCTCAAGTAGAAAGAAAATGTTTGGAAATGATGATGGCAACATATGTACAAATGTGCTTGATACAATTGATGTATGGATTGTTATAAGAGCCCCCCAATAAAATTATTTATTAAAATTAAACAATAACATTAAAATTAAAAAATTAAATGCAGTTGGTAGCATGTATCTTATAGAGTGTTCCAAGTGATGACAATTACGTAGCTAAATCACTGTTATTGCTGTTGGGTACCATTGACTCAGAGGCAAGCCAGAGCGACCCCATTCACCACAGAAGGGAACGCCACCTTCACGGTCACGCTCAGGTTTGAGCCCCTGGTTGCAGGACCATGTTCTGCACCTCATGGAGGGCCTTTCTCCTGTTCATGGACCCTCTAATTTACCAAGCCTGGTGTCCTTCTCCAGGAACCGGAGCTGCTTGCCCCCATATCTAAGGGGCAGCCTGCTT